GTCTTGGAAAGTGGTACTTTCTCTTGAAATACAACATATGACAGTCAATCTCCTGGCTAATTCATTCTGGTTCAGTTTTCTCTGACCTGTGACAAAATCAAAGGGATTTAACTCTGCAATCCGCAACATATTTTTTTAAATGCTTTTCCCACAATGCGAAGTGTCCTGCTTCCTTGGTAATCGCTTTGTCTCCTGCAGTCCAGAGTGTAGGCCAGGCCTGATTCCATTAACTTCCCATCTTCAATTCAGTGTTTCAATAATTAGGGGTCACCAACCTCTGATACCCTGGGCAGCTCCCTATGGAGCTTATAGTGTTCAAGAGAGGAATCGGATCAGAAATCATTTATCATGGAAGCCCTTCCCCATAATGTAGGCCCTTGAGCACTGATATCCAAGAAAGTAATTACAGTGACTGTATGGAGTCACTTTGCAAAACATACCTGATTTTGTTATCCTGTTTCGATTTCGATTTGTCACAGAGATGGTGAGGTATAGTTTCGACCTTTGGTGAACTACTGGCAATAGTGAAGGTTTAAGATTTAAATTGTAAATATATCAATATATGCTTTAAGCACATTTGTGTTTTTGGGACTAAGGCAATAAGAAAAAAAACATGGGGGGGAAAAAGCTGACGTTTCGTATCGCAGGTTACTGAGGGACATCTCCTCTCCAGTGAAGGCACCTTGATGAGCTGCTGCAGTATTCATAATGGGGACATCAATCCATCAGCAGCCGTCAGGAGCAGAGCAAGTATCAGTCGGATCAGAAATTCATTGATATCAGATTCTGAATTCTTTGATTTCTCTTTTTTCTCCCTTCATTGTTGCGTGCGCATTTGTCAGGATGGAACTGACAGAAACGTGTTAGTTTAAGCAAAATTTGATGTGATTTACTTGGCATACATGCTTCTCCAAATCCTTGCGCAAGGTGCATGTGTGTTTTTCTGGATTTACCCCTTTGGCATGGTGGCTGGCTGAGATGACTGTAAAGGGCTGAGATGACTGTAAAGCTTGTATAATGAATTCAGTCTGTTGTTTCCAGGTCCTTGTTTTTCAGTCCAATTAATATGAGCAGCACGTGGGGCCACGTTTGGTTCATTACTGTTATGAATTGAACATAGAAGTAATTGCTTCTGAGGTCTAGTTTTGTTGTTGTCATTTATTAGCTAACCAGCTTATTGTTGGCTGCGAAGCCTCTTAATTGCTGTAAAGCATAGTATTGTTAGCAGACGCGATAAAACGGTTACATCCAGATGAATGTTGGTGATATCCTTGAACGAGGAAAAAGAACAAAGGATAAAATCAAAAGGGAATCAAAGAAGGCTGTTAGTTTTGTAAAAAAAGAAAGGCATGGACTTGTGAGAATATTAAGGTGCACTGATGTGGATTCCATAGGTTGATTACAATCGCCGGGAAAAGTAAATGGATTACAGGTGTCAACCTTACTAGCCAGGCAGTAGTGGACAAGTCACATATACGAAAATGCTTCATTATACAGATGCTTGTGTCAAGATGGGGTGATGAAAGAAATAATAGAATGTAAAGTGTTTTTTAGGCCAGTTGTCATTACCTGTTTTTATCTGTGTTTAATTAAATGACTGAAAGGCAAATTGACCTCACTAAAATCACCAGTGTGAGGTGACTTAGCACAAAGTTCCAGCTGTACGTGTGTCCGAGTCATGTAGCGACTACCCATTTAACCCAAGATTAAATGAGTTTTTAAAATGTTCCTGCCAGTGATTGATCTAAGTATTACAGATTTTTCTATGGTCTCAATTCAACATCTCTCATCAAAAATTCAGTCTGCTGATGAATGCTGTTCCATTTTTAATGAGTTATCTGCAGCTGTTGCCATGGCTGAAGTATCGCACGTCCCGCAGTTTGGAACCCTTGCACTGTGTAAACTTAATGCAGGCCTGAGATGTGTGTTCAGTTGACCACAGGCTGGATTTCAAGTCTAGTTTAATGAGTATGTGCTGTAGGATGTAGCATGTATGGTGGAAAGTGACATGTTTCCAACAAACGCATTCATTTGAGAGGAGGCTGATTTATTGTGAAAACAAGCAAACTGTGTGCTTGTTAAGGACCTAAGGGCCCCGATGCCTGTTACACAGACCCCAACTGGCGTGTACAGTGATGATCAAAAAGTGGCGGTAACATTGACAACACTTTTTAAGGATAAGAAAAAATATTACTGGTAAACTATGAAAAGCCCTTGTGGGGATTATTAATGTTAGTATATCAGCAATTCAGTATGTTCAGTGGATCAAGAGGTTTGAAATAATGCAGAAATCAAACGCTCGTCATACATTTTTGTTTATTGTTCCCTCAGTTCATGGAGGTAAACAAACACTTAATACTTATATGAATACTTACAGGTTACTTCTCTGAGCGCCTTTGTAGCGGTTGCTAAATTAAGTCTTCAACAGTTTGCCCATCTCCAGTGCTTCACTCAATATTGTAAAAGCCTAACTGCACTGCATTGTATTAACTCTAACTTAGTGGGTTTGTTGTGGGAAGTGAGTAACGGATGTCCTGATACTCCCAACTCCTCCCCCCCCCCACGTTTCAGTGTGTATGTGAAAAGCGTATAAGGGAGCAAGAAGAGAGATGCATCATCGCCCCCCCCCCACTCCCCCATCCCCCAAACTAACTAAATGTCTATTCTGTTTACCTACCTCTTCTTGCTTTTTTTCCTTGAGAAAACCCAAGTAAGCTTATTCTATAAGAGCTTTATAAGAGTGTGTGCTAAATGACAGTGTAATGTAGGCTGTTAGTGCCGTTAACCAGCTGAAATCAGGCTTCCCGGGTGAGTCACCAAGGCCTTGGATTACATGATTGATTGGATAGATGTGTTTTTAACCGTGGCGGTACAGATTTTGGTATGGCAGGCTGTCATAGGTTATATATTATTACATATATTACCAGTGGAAACCACTGTACTTGTAATTATTCTCTGAAGTTAACACTCAGGAAAATATGCAATATATTCAGAGTGATATGGTGTCTTAGTGTTGTACTGGATGTCCTTGAAATGGCCTCCTGTGTACAGTATTTGTCAGGCAGGCATGTCTTTGTACATAACATCCATTGTCATGGAAATAAATATTACTTAAGTCTCAGGTGTGTTAGTTTTTGTAGAACAGCACTGTGGTCAAAAAAGATTGTAGGCAAATACTCTTGTTGAATTAAAGCCAAATTCCATATTGAGAGAGAAATGGTTCAGAATGTAGTCTAAAGTTAATCAAAGATTAGACAAGTTCCTCATTTGTTTTCTAGGCAAATAATTGCAAGTATATTTGTGTAATTAGGCAAAATGTTTCTGGAAGGACTAAATCTGAATTTCATCAACTGAATTTCATCCCTTTTGTTATTGGTTACTCATTTAAAGGGCATTGTCCGGCTCACCTCGCCATTAAAGAACACTTTCATGTATGTCAGGTGCCAGTGCAAAACAACATAATAGATTGATGTGTATTTGGCCACTTGCTAAATCCTTTATTGTAAATTGGAGAATTGGCTTTTCCCATTCAGTGTAACAAACAATTATTAATCAATCAGAGAACTTGCTCCTTTCGAGGCTGGAAGGTTTTCTTTTTTTTACTGGAGTTAAACCTAAAGTTTTTGTATACTAAAAGTTTTGTGTTAAGTATCTTTCATTTGGAAATCTTCTACTTTGAAATGTGCCCCAATGACCTCCTGGAGACTTTAAGCCAGTCCTAGTTTCAAAGCAAAGGGGGAGAGTGACCACTCGCATCTAAAATGAAGAGCTGAAACAGTAAGATTCTCAAATGGTGAGAAAAAAATCCGGATGTTTGAAATTTTAAGATGGTTGAAAAGCACTAATCTAAAATTTCTGAACTTTCATGTACATGTACATTTTTAAATTCTTGAAAAACAGAAAGCTTTTTAAATCTACCTATTTCATGAACTTTTGAATGTTTGGTAAAATATGTCATCTGAGTTTCTAACTTGATTCTGTACAATTAGTTTATCTGTATTGTGCGGTGTGTAGATAGTGCCCTATAACCTAATGGTGTGTGATCTTTGTTTCTTCAACTATGACACAATAAGGGCAAAAAAGGGGAGCAGGGGTTAGGGTTGGAGGTAGTGTTAGGTTTACTTTTTAGCATTGAACTTTTAGTACTTGTTTTGAAAGTATTACAGGTGCATTACATTACTGTGTACTGCATACATATATCTACTATATACATTATCTGAGCAAACTTTTACCTTAATATGGAAGTGGTAAATCTAGTCAGTCACCAGTCACGATATAATATCTTACTTCCTTGTAAATATGATACAAGGCAGAAGAGATTGTATTGTATACTGAGTCACATATTTGTTTTTATTTTCTGGTACACAACACCTGTATCAGTCCGCATATATTTTAAAGGCATCCTCAGGCAAGCCCTGATAACAGGACTGCTTAGATCCCAACCAGGTACGTGTGACCTGCCTTCCTTGTCTTTCTTAAAGCAAGGCTGGCCATGAATGACCATATCCTTTACTGCCAGCCTTTTACATCGAGAGCGCTACTTTCAATGGGAATCTCTCTTGTTAAATGCACTAGCCCAGCTGAAGTGTTGAACTGGACTCGATTGAATTAACAGCAGTAATTTAGCAAAATCTCTGGAAAGCAAGGCTCTCTTTAGTGTATATAATGATCCAATATTCTGCATGTATGTTATTTATAAGACCATTACCCAAGGCGTTGTACTTCAACTCTCTCTGTACCTCGTGATTTTTTATTTTTTTGTGTCAACAATGTTGCAAACTATGGGGCTGTATTTCTATCATGCAGTAATGGATGGAGAACAAAGAGTTTGAAAACCAGTACAAAAACGGTGCAGGTTTTTTCAAGGTTTTAACGGCCACAGTGTGCTTTTGTTGAAATGAGTCACATATGTAAAACACACAAGCTGAAGGCAGAGAAATGGATTCCGCATACATTAGAGAATCCCTGATTTTTCCATAATGAAAATTGTACAGAATAGATGTTATTCAGGCATTGATTAAACGTTTATTTTTTGTCATTGTTTAGCAAAGCAAACATCAAAGTATGAAGGCATTTCATTGAGTAAAATATGACATGGCACAGATGAAAGGAACTAATTGATTTCTGTTGGAAAAAAAAGTACTTAGGGGAAAAAACTTCCCATTGTGTTCCTTATAAATTAGAAAGGAAAGGAAACACAGGCATCAGCCACCACATTATGTACTAACAAATACAACTTGTATGCAGAACAATGCACCACTAAATATTTGCATTTACACCTTCACTTTTTTCTGTATGGTCATGTATGCCAAACAAGGCAGATCCTTTAAATGCTAAGAGAGAAAGTCAGAGGACAAAGTGAGTTTTATGTTTTGGAAGTTTAAAGCAAAGCTGCCATGCACAGAAAATTGCCAAAATAATTGAATCTCCTCACACAGATAGGCAACTAAACTCAATTGTCTTTTCAAATTAATGAACTCTTTCTTTTAATAAGCCCCACTAAACACACCACAGGTATGTGGATCAAAACTAATTGATGTGGTTAAGGGAGATGATGCTGAATTGTGACGCTTTGCCATTTGGTCGCTGGCTTTTCAAATGTGTTCTCAAGACTTATGAAAAATGCTGAAGCCGCGAAGTGCTGGATTTGTAGCAGTGTCGATGCATCAAAAGGAATTAGTGATTTTACTTTTATTTTCCTGGGCTTCTGCGACGTTTTCAAGCTCAGTCTCAAGTACAAAACGCAGGATTAACCTACAGAATAACCACATTTCTGGTGCCTTTAGAAAACAAAGCTGCACTGCCCTGTAGTGTTTGAATTGCTGGGGGGGGGGGTGTCTTATGTAGCAGGAAACTGGAATGAGGATGGTTGGTGAGTTTCAGCTTTCAGACATTGCAGACCAAAGGACCATTAATGTTGGGCCTCAGTTACCAGCTCCCAGATGGGTAGGTATGCTTTGCCCCCAGGGCGCCCCATCAGCTCAGGGCGGAACCTTACCTACCAGCTATCACTGCCAATTCACACACTCGTCACCTTGAGAAATCTTTTGATATGTTTTCCCCATTTCATTTTTGAATATATTTTATAATTTGCTTTTTAATATATATATATTTTTATACATTTCTATATATTTCATATATAGTTCTATGAAAGAAAGCGATTAGTAAAAAATCAAAAGCGTAAAAGTTAATGAACTTTGTTCTACTCTTCCTAGAACATCTAGTTCTCCCAGTGGACAATGTCAGTGTGATGGTGCCTTTGCACAGTCTTGCTGTCTTCCCATGATGAGGCTGATTGTCTCTTCACTCCTCATGGGTCTGTGGGGGGATGAAGAAGACAAAATGTTTTGACCATGGAAGGAGTATCAGAAGTGCAAGTGACTCCCCTATGGAATTTAATTATTTCTATTTCTTCTACAGTGGATGGAAGAGGAGCCTCTGACAAGGTGTTAAGTGGGAATGTGAGGAATTTGATAATCCAGTGTTTCAGTAATTTATTCATGTGTGCTTGTGAATGTTGTAATGCATTATGTTACTACTATGCACACAAAAGGGGAGTCTGATACACTGAAAACTTCAGACAAGGCTACCACTGCCGTGTTTCCGCTTACAGGGTTTACAAAACGCCATTGGAGCTTTATATCATGGCTTAATGTCAAATGCTGGTTCTAGCACTCTATGGCTAGATGTATAAGGAGTATGTTTGACAGTCAAGAGACACACCCAGGGTTTAAAGTGCACGAGTAGCCTTGACGAGATCCCCAGGGCCTGCCTGTGTGTTTTTGTGCTTTCTTGTGCTCTCTCACCTTTGGACTGATTTCTGTCAGGCTGCATTACTTCAGATTCTTCAGATTCCTCACCCTGAGTACTTGGTTCAGCTGGAGGACCTGAGAATGGAGAAAAGGGCCACAAAAGTCTGACTGCAGTGTCAGTGTCTGTCTGGCACTCTGCCAGGTAATGGACTTCATTTGGTCTCTGGGCCCTGAGGTATCATGAGAGCTTTAAGAGTGCATTATGCAATACACATTTCTTTATATTTTATAACTTGGTTATTGACATACAGTACTGTGCAGAAGTCTTAGGCAGTCAGAAAACTCGATGTTTAAATGATCTTAATGTTGGTGTAAAACTCTGATGTTTGTCAAAGTATGCCAGCCATTTCAAAACCATCCAGTATACCCATGTTATACTGAATCGACCAGAACCCCACCTTGTTTGGCTAATCAACATCTCATTGACTTTTTAAACTAATTTAATTAATTAAGTGATCTGGTTGTGAAATGTGACGAATACATGGAATGTCTGAGGTGCCCCTGAGGAGAGGTTTGGAAGCCAAAGCGGTGTTCATCTAGCCATCCAACGTATCAGTACCTTTTTGGAGAACATGACATATGTTAATTTGCATACGCTCTAATGATAAATTGTGCACTTGCTACCCAGATAAATAGCTTTAAACATTCCTTTTGACTGCCTAAGACTTTTGCACAAGACTATTTTGTTGAACATAAATGGGCACTTCATGATGCAGTTGTTAGGTGGCAGGTAGGATGGGGTCTGGGGTAAAGGGGACCACGGCAAATCATTATCTGACATGCTTTATAAATATGCTTAGTAACAAGTTACTAATGCAGTCACTCAGAAAATGTACTTCAAAGGTTTCACGTGGAAGACTTAGGTGGGTCCCTGCGTTCATCTTGTAAAAATATGTAAAGCTGTTTAAGAGAAGAGGTGAGGTGTTTTAACACTGCATTACTGCAGAGAAAGTACAAGGCGGCAGTACATGTACTACTGTTTGCATGGTGTTACTCATAGCACAGGGGACACTGGTTATTACATGACCGTACAGAGTAGTTCCTGCAGACACACACTGGAAGTAGCAGCTTCGCTGCACAAAGACAAGTCATAAGTGCATGAGTCTAACAAGGAGACTATATGACTGAGGCTTCAGCCATTCCGCTACCTCCTGTCTCCTGCCCCACACAGGAACCGCTGCTGACAGCACAATCCCTGCTCTTAGCGCAGTGACTGCTTAATCCATCACACAGGGCCTTGGAGTTACTGTTCTGTCAGAGAACATGCCTGTCTTGGCTATTCACCATGGCGACCCATCCATGGGAAACACAGGGCCGCCGTGCAGGTATACCGTGCAGTTCCAGCTACCCTCCTGTGCCTCTTCTCTGCCCGAAAAGCTGGCCTTTCGGCCACGTTTCACCCGTCATCTGAAGCCCTCATTATTGCACATGTATGATACAATATCGATATATCGCCCAGCCCTAGTCACCAACGCCCTTGTCACTGCTTGGATGTGTCATTCATCTGCACCACAGTTCCCAGTCACACAGGCTCTACCTATTGCTGAACTTCCTTGGCCTTCATAAGCAAGAAAGCACAAAACAACTCATTCTTGTATGTCCAAGCAACTGCTGTATATCCCAGTTGCCACTGACCCACCAGCATACAAACCCAATTACATGTCTTCTCTCCTGTTTTCCTCCAGCCATCTCATTATTTAACTCCTCCAGGCCAGCTCGACCCTACCAGTCCACATAACATGAGCAGCCAGGGTGTGCAGATGCCTCTCCTGCACCACCTGGGCATGTGTGTTGTTCCTTCCAGCCACGCCTTCACCTAGCGTACTGATGTAATACCAAGGCTTCCAACTCCAGCCCTTTTTGGTAATGCACTGCCATCTAAAGTAAAGACTTAAATCATCCATCCATCCATCATCTAGCTGCTTGTCCCAAGCTTCTGAAATCACATTTTTCCTTTACTTTTAGATAACGGCAGGTTGGTTTGTCAATCGATAAAAAATAAACGGTGTGAAAACAAACCTAAACTAGACTCTTTTGAATTAAGCATTCTGTACATTCACCTTTGGCAGTTAACAGATGTCCAACAGCTAGCCTCATCTTTATATTCACATATTTAGAATAGAAAATATATTTAATTATAGAGCTGCATCATCTCCTCACCTTTAAAAGCACTGGTGTCTTCACCCTGAGCAGCTGCTTGACCATGGTGGGCCCCCCCCTCATCTGCTGGAGCTGCAACATGTCACAAATCGTCAGTCTTGGCTTCCTTGCTGATGTAGGGTCTTTACTGATTGTGGATTAGGCTTCTCTGCTGCGATACAGACCCCTGCGGCCCATCACCCAGAGGCACTACTCCATAATTTTACAGGAATCAAAAGTGAGGGAGCTTTACAGGCTGCCAGTGCTGAAAACACCTAAAAAAACTAACTTTTACCTCTCATTTTTCCAGTTCTGAAATGCATTAAAAGCAGCCTGCAAGGTGTGTTTGCCAGATAAAATGATCAGTCCAGTTTCCTGCATGAGCATGTCAGCATTACATTTTTCATTTAGATTTGCTTGACATGTATTCTCATGGTAATATGACATTGATAAGAGGCACCGTATTTCTAACCTTACATATGGTGACATGGCTCTTTCGAAGTATATCTAAACAAATTTTAAGTTACCCCAGCAACAGTACACCACCTGGCATCTGAAACAATAACCCTAGGATAACAATTAATTAAAACCCCTCATTATGCCAACACAGCCGCAATGGCTCAAGACATAATGTCTTGGCCATATGGTGTTTGGACTATATGGTCAGGGCATTGAGAAGACTTCCTCAATGCCACCAGCACGGTCTGGAAACACAGCACTGTCTCTAACTCCAGTCAGTAATCTGAGACGACCAGAAACTAATGATGAAATTCCCACCACTTGTTGCTAGATATTCAGTTTCTGCCTGAAGAACCAAAACGAATACAAGGAGGAAAAGAAAAGAATCACACAAAATCAGTCCGAGGTCGTCTTCAGTCTGCAACATGTTACTCTGTATTGCGCTGAATGTTTTATCAGCATCATTTTTATACTCTTATCTCTTTTATTCATACTCTTCAGCAGCCTAAAGCAAACTCACTGATAAAGAATACCTTTCTAGGCTTGCTGGTCTTAAAAATTAAACACAAATACAGCTTTTAAAAATTATTTTGATTAAGGCAGGAAAAATAATGCAAAATAAAATTCCCAGTTCTCAAAAGGTCTTTACATTCTACATGATTACTATGCAAAAACATGGAAATTTGGCATCGTTTGGACTTAATATGGAAATGTGCTTTATTAATCTCGCATTAATTTTCAGATCTGAAACTTCCTGCCAAAAATGACCCTGTAATTATTTTCCTAATATGTGTTTTGTTTTTACCCTTCATTTGCAAGTTAATTTCTCCTCTTTGACTGATATCATTTCCTACATTTAAATGACGTTTTTTTCCTCATTGCTGAGAGAGGACTTCACTAAGTACTGAAGCATGTGATTCTCAACAGAAAACTGGGGCCTAAGTGGCTCCCTGCTGGACAGTTACCCTTTCAAACAGCAGCATCTCCATCATCAGAGACTGCATTCAGTCCCACTGACATTTGAGAAACAGCCAAATGTAATGCGCTTTCCTGGTAGAAACAAACAGTATTGGAATTGTAACAATCGTGAAACAAGTTTGGCTAATGACAATCTTGGAGGGGGAGGGCGTCTCCCAGTGGACAGTAGGTGAAGTCAACCAGGTGTGACGGCTCCTGATTATGGCCCAAGAAACCCCGTTATCTCCGCTTGATATTGCAACAGTGAGGAAATGGAACCAGCCAAGTTAAATTTCTAAAAGTTATTGTCCATCACAACCCACCCTGCCCCCCCCCTGGAAGATACAGTTTTTTTACCTTATTAATTTTGGCAAATCGAGGCCTCAGCCAGCCACGTAAACAAGGCAGGGAATTTGGAGGTTTTTTTAAAGAATGATATACTTGGGCTCAGAACCTTGTTAACTGGCTTGGGGTCAGCACTTGAATGTTTAAATTTGATGTTTAATAGTAACGTTAGACATCAGAAAGCAATACTATAGTTTGACAGTAAAGTCTTCTGCACCCTTCAGAAAGCTTTCTAATTGAGAAGTAATAGTAGGACCCCAGCCCTTTTTGTTTCTACACTGCTATTCTAATACCAGCACCACAAAGCTGAGGTGATGAGGTGGACTGGCACTGCCCTGTTCTTTATGTCCCCGCGTACTCGGGCAGTAGACTGGCTGGAATGACGGGATATCAAACAAGCAGAAAGCGCGACAGGAGGCCAGCAGCCTGGCTGGAGATCCACCCCGCGGAGGTAGGCAGTGTTACTCCTCAGCCGCAGGCAAAGGCCTGCATGATGCTTCTCAAACTCTGACAGTCATTAAGGCATAACATTCACGCATTAGCAGGTCTGAAAGGAAAACACCAAGTCTTCAACATGGAGGTGCTGCAGACGGCAGCATGTTCAGGGCAAAGCTTCTGTGCGATTATTCTGTTGTTTGTCCCCCTTTGCATTATGGGTACTGGGATACATGTGTTACCTGTGCGCATGGTTCCCTGACTAAAAGTGGCCCCGATATGTGATGGAATGAGAGTTTACCATGAGCCTCCCCAGTCCCACCCCCAACCCCCTGCAGCAATCTCATTCAGGATCACGCTGAAGTTTTATAATGGCCTCGCAGCATGGGCGTCATCCTCTACTCATTTCAACCTTGCACTGAGCGATAGCGAAAACCTGGGAAGCCGGCTCCCATCTCAGGCATGCCAGCAGGGAAGCGCAGCCAGCACAGGGTTTGTTTATATTCAGACAGGCAGAGAATTACACACCCCCACCAACCTGACCCTCCTCACACGTGCCAGGAGATACTTATGTACATTTACCAGACAACAAAAAACGCATTGGAGATGCATAATACTGGACAGAAGCTTCATCTGCCTAACAATGGTGGGAGGAAGAGGGAAATGGGAATCAGAGTGGAAGATGCCTGCGTATGGAGAACATTGTGAGAGTGAGCTACCAGCATGGATTGGCTTGCACTACGGAGCTGGTTAAGTGTGGGATTTGTTAAATTATTTCTAGAACATTACATTTTCTATTTTTACTCTATTTCAAGTCTACATTATCACTTCTTACCACGGTGCTTTTATAGTTTTACAATGTGGTACCCCAGCCTTCCCACATAGTTTTCATATACGTGTTTTTGTGTGTGTCCCCCCCCGGAAAGCAGACTCGCCACACATTAGTGCCACAGACAGCCGGACAAGCTGGTCATATGGAGAGTAGCGATGTCACAGTCCACTCATACTTTCCCACCTGTCTACATCTACACTCCCTCAAACAAAAGGTGTTTGCCTGCTTTCTGCAGTGCATGGTTGCCCTTTTACAAGCCTCACTAGTAGAAGGGTGTATCAACCACAAACTCATTTTGGATTCCCATTTTTCTGTAATCTGTAATAATAGCAAATATACTGTCAGCGAATATGATGATGATTATGGTTTGAAGGAAGTATCTTTCCACAAAGGAGAAAAGAAAATTCATACAAATGGGAAAGACAGGATGTGACTGCTGATTGACACAGTAATCGGATTTGGATTGCATACAACACACACGTGAACCAATCTAACTTAGCAAGTGCACAGTCAATTTCAGAGATATTAAAACCACAGCTGGTTGCAAATCAACGGAACAGAGACGGACCCTTCCTGAAGCCTTGTGATTCATTTGTACATATTTATTTCATCAGTAATGCCTTGGACTGTGTTACTGAATTACTGCTATAACCATTAAAGAAGTTCTTTTTGGATATGGATTACTTTACTTTCCAGTTTCTGCTATTTTACTCCCTCCCTTTAGCATTGTATTTACGATAATGAATATGGGGTTAAATGCCTGCCAGGTAATAAGGCTGGCATCTAAAGCAGTCTGTGTCACATGTCTTCAGTCTCACACCTCATTAAAACATGTCCCTACTGAGATGATGACTGTTATCCTGCTATTGTCTGTCTGCTCAGTGACAATTTTTCATTTACATTGCAGTCCGTGATAAAGCACTACAAATATCTGTGGCATCTTAATAGAAATGTAATAGTCTGGCGTACCCCTTGCAGGCTTGAAGAAGGGTATTAAGGGGCAGGAAGGTTAAGAAAGGTAACTGGCACGTGGCAGGATGTATTGATTTGGTAAGATAGCATATTATCAATCATATTAGCATAAAAGCATAACAACACTGACTCTTCACATAAAAACCAGTTTTTCTGGAGGCTATGATGGTGGTTAGCTTACATATTGGCCTGACACGGCAGTGTATATTTCAAGCATGGCAGGTCTCAAAACAAGAGGTATGGGAACTGTGAAGAGATACAGCCGGGTGGGATCCGTCTCCGAGACCATTATGCCTCATTTAGGAACTCTGTGCTGCCCCTACTGACGTGATGCAATATTAATTACCCACATGGCAGTTCCCTAACATACAAAATCTCCTTCATGTTATGTAAACAAAACACCTGATGCTTTAAATAAATAGATTTGAAATAAAATATAAATTATGCTGTTAAAATACCATTAGCTAATTTGACTAACTGCACACACTATTTCTTAGCCAAACGGTTGACAGGATCATTTGGCCCATTAAAACACAGCAACAGCTGTTCTACAGTTCAGCTGACAGCCGGAACCTGTTTCTGGAACCTTTTTAAAATGTGACCCAGTTTACTCTCCCCTCAGTTTCAAAATGACCAATGAATTTCCTCCTTCCTTTTTAAAGTGTAAATAAACTAAATTCAACCACACAGACTCATCCCATCCCACTGTCATCAGAGATCCAGCCTTCATTGGGCATCACATTTCCACAGTGCAGGTGAACATGGAGGAAAGCGGAGAACCTCTAACTCTGTACCCAATCATCAACCTAACAGATGCGAGGGATAAGTAGTTTTCTAGCGCTCAGAATTCCTGTTGGCTGACTGCAAACAGTCCCTGGCTGTCACTTTCAGTAAAGAAAGACATCAGCTTTGAGAGATGTCTGTCTGCTCAACAGAAACACGGTTTAAAAATTGTTTCTTTTAAAACCTGGACAATAGAAGAGCCCTCCCCTTTCATGTGTAAATGGGACGGGACCGGGCCTGACCGAAAAGACTAATGACGTGTTAAATTTGGAAAGCAAACCATTTTCATATGTAAATGCTCCAAAGTTTGTAGCTCTGGAGAGCAAGAAGCTGTGCCTTAGTGGGCCTCAGTGCAAAACACTCGATTGTGAATGGAGTTTTTATTGCAGCGAGATAATGTGGTGTCTTGTGACCTAAACCAATTAAAACATACCGAACTGTGACCTCTTCAGCATAAAGGAGTGCCGGTTTGGGTCCACCCCAACCAGTGCCAACATGCACTTGAAATGAAAGGCAGAAGTTCTCATAAATATTCTGCCCTTGGAAGATGGAGGGGGTCCTAGAGACTAAGTGGTATTGTACCACGCCATTGATTTGCCTAACCTTACAAGCCTCGCTTTACAAATCGTACATTGAAATGGCTCAGGCTTCTGTAGTGATCCCCAGCCTTGTCTGAATGGGCTTGAGGTAATTAAACGGGGGGGTGGGAGATATGCTTGATGCGATGGGAAAAACAGTGGACTCTTTGAAGGGGTGAAAAGAGAAACTCAAACCATCTGGTAATGGTGGGCTTAGTAAAGGCACAATGAGGCAGACAGGCTTTGGTGGGAGTGGGGGGAGCCAGACAAAGGTACAGAATGCATTTAATTGGCTGGTCAAAGAGAGCCATCCACATGTGGAGGGCAGAGCAGGAACGTCGCCCCCCACTGCCAAACAGCTGCACCTGAATAGCAGATTGTGACCCATTCGCAAAACGGCCTCTGAAAGTGTTTTCATTTCAGCGCATACAAGCCTTGCCAGACACTTCCCTGAACACCTGGTTTTCATCTTGCCGACTATTCACACCCGATTTTACATGCCTTGCCTTTTGTTGTGAACTTTCCTTAAAACTTGATTTATGCTAAAGCCACAGAGACCTCTCACCTATGATGTGATGTTCTTGACGTGTTAAACAGGAACCTGTTAAAACCGTATGGAACCTCCTTGCTTAAAAAAGGCAGAACTATTAAAATTCACTAACGAATTCTCAATTAAGGTTGGCCTTGAAAATGTTACAAGCCTTGAGGAGAAAAAAAATCACAAAATCCACTAAATTTCCTTAAAGAGGAGATCTGGCAGACCCGCTCTCATGCCTCAGTGTCACATATGAAGAGGTTGGGTTTGCATTAAAAAACCCAGAAGACAACTAGACACACAGGAAATTGTACAGATGAAAGGCCGCAAAGACCCAAGCTGATCAACTAAATAAGTACGATACCATATGAAGCGGTGAGCAGAAACTCAGAAAGGAGACACCAGCTAACTTGACCTAAATACCTTCCGAACCCACTTGTCAGTGGAAACCCAGTCTCTTCCCTTCACTTGCTGAAATACTCTGCAGAATTCTCAGCTTCTTTTGCAAGAAAAAACATCTAATAATTTGCAGTACATTTTGGCTAACGCATGCATCAAATCTGCAGCACTGTTTAGTCCTGGGTTACAGCCAGCATTCAGGTGACAGTATCAGTAAACACCCACCATCGGAGGAAAAAATGGGAGCACAATCTGGGGAAACTAGGACAGGTGACTTGATTATACTTCTAAAACAAGACGTCACATTGTCGGGTGGCAGTTACCATATCAGCCCTTCATATAACCCTGCGCTCTGTGTTGTAAATTTGAATAGTATTGTATGTGTTTTGTCCTATAAATACAAAGTGAAATATTTTAGTGGTCTGTTTCTATAACAACACTTGCAGGCAATGCTTGCTTACAATGGGAAGAATTGAATTCAGCGGATAAGCTAAAACCCAAGCTAACTGGTTAACATCGGCTAACCCCGGCCAATTAAACCAAGCCATTCCATGCTACCTTTCTGTATTACCTTTAATAAAAAGTGCAGTATAAGTGGTAGTGATACGACAAGGTTATACAAACTTTCTTCCAGATACCTCTAACCGTAGTAGTACTTTATCTTTAATTAATGAATTTTTGAATGAATTAATTTCAAATCAGCATGATAGTACTGATGCTGACTAATTTATTTCTGCCCCTGGTCAAATGAGAGGACTGGAGTTTTTGATTAGGTACTTACCGTCACTGTCGCTGACAGGCTTTTGGGAGTCACCACTGCTCTCTCCTTCTGCAGTAAGGTAGGGGACAAAATGTTACATTTTATACTATAGACATGTAAGCATATGTAGCCACCATCACACATTCTCATTGGTTGGGCTGGTGCTACAATGCATAATGAAGATGAGCACATTCTTGGCTGTACACCTTGGCAGGTCTGTCCCATGCCAAATAACTGGTGAGAAGCACTTCAGTATTTCTTCAGCAAACCAAAGGAGCATGTCTTTCTGCCTTCCCCATGGAAGAACAACCCTTTAAGACAAAGACCCCCCCTCTACAATAAAGGTGTGCCCTGTCACTGCTGACTGGTCACCTCTTATCTTCTGCTATGCTGCCGTCTTGAAGCCATCACACAATGTAAAAGGAGCAAAAGGCACAAAGATGCTGATCAAAAGAGAACCTTCAAAGCCATGTTGAAAGTATCCCTTCCGGCTTGCTGCAGGCCCGTCCGCAAAATTTCCCTTTGATGCCAGAAAATGCCGGGCAAAGCATGACCCAATAACTGAAAGCAAGCCTTTTGGTTCCTGCAGTGGTGTAGAACTGCCGTCCAGGTGCCGTCCAGTTTTTGACTGACTATATGGATACGATTATTGAATGTTCAGTTTTCATCCAGGTAAAAACCACTTACTCCACACACGTCAAAGACCCAAAACCACAAGTGTTTTTATGGTTGTGTGAATCCAGCCTACTGATAGCCACACAGTTTTACTTCTACTGGGACCTAAAACAGAATAAAAAACAGCTCAATGCACTGGGCACAAAGTGCATCAAGGACTGGCAGATGCGCCAAACCCAGGGCAACTGGTTAATTGTGTTCAGGCGGCACTAAACCACAGGCCATTTCTGCAGAGTTCTAAGAAATTACCTTCACATCAGAGGTGTCCCATTGTGCACAACAGACATGCTGAATGTAGCACAAAATAGTCAATTAGCGACGTCCAGCAGCCCCATGTCAGTCACAGGGAACGGGCAAGTCTCTGGCTAATGGGGTGGGGTGGCATCAACACAAATGACAAATACTAGGACAGGGCTTGAAATGAGAGAGTCCAGAACTTTCCTACAATCAATCTATTCCTTTATACCTCCAACACTTCTATCCAGCTACTGAACCAAATTTAAAAGGCAGTGCGGGGGAGAAGGTGTTTACCCACTGATGGGTCCTGTAAGCAGAGGAGGAGTGTAACAATTTTGCAATTCTGACCATAAATAGTTGACAGACAGACCCACCCCCCCGTGAGCTCAATACAGACAAGTAAGCAAGTAAGTAAATGAAGAAGCTGTGAAATGAAATGAAAACATGGTTTGCCGATGTAATGAAAACATGGTTTGCCATTCTAAAAGTTCAAGTGAAGTTAAGCATCTGCGAAGTGAGTCCACAGGGTGCTGTGGCCCCCCAGGCCAGATCACATCAAACTGGCTATTTTATTTTTTTCCCTCTGCTCAAACAAATAATATTACAGTGAAATGGCTTTTGTTGAGTAGCATACACATTATAACCACTATAGAAATGACTGTTCTCATGCATAGCCATTTATGGAATTAATTTTAAAGTGAAGTCAAATTTGCAATATACTCCAAGCAGAACTTCACAGCACAAAAGCCATGATTAATGATGAAATTAAATTCCCAAAAGTGGTATGCCAGTCTCATTCATTTAGCAAGATTTGTCATATATCCAAGTTCTGCTATGCTAATCCGTTGCAGTATCAACAACCTTCAAAAGAGCAGTAGGACTTTATGGAAGTTGCTCCCTGAGGGGGAACATGTTACATATAGAATCTCGGTGTTAAAATCTCCTTGGCTAACTATGGGATGCAGCGGCCTCTTTCAAAGACAAATGTTCTATTAACCAACTGTGTGACAGGTTAACACAGTTACTATTTGTTCTTCTGCTTGTGATGTATAAATAAAGCACACCCAGAAACTCAGTCTGAGCAAAGACTGAGAGATGAAAGCACAGAATACAAAGGACTCCATATTGTACGTCTGTTACTGTCTCTCTTTGTGAATGACTAAAGATCTGATCACATGCTGTTCTCAGTGCACTCTTGCCTGTGGCTCTTCCCATAGACCGGGCCCCTCTCCACAGACCTAGGATGTTGGACTGCAGGCTGACAGGCAGAAACCCTTTCCAAATTCTTTAAATATACAATGTTCAGTAAATTAATGATGAATTTTAGATCTGCAATATTTCATATTTCATTGTCATGGTTAATCATGTATGTACTACAATTAAGTTAAAGGCATTTCTATTTCTGCTTTGCTGTCTTCAATAAATATGGAATATTGCACAGTTACTGCTCTGAGGAACCTTTATAAACGGTTTAAAGTTTCACAGAATAATTGCATTATATGGAACTGCAGTTTGGCCTTTGTTCCAATGGAATAATAGTGCATTGTAATGTCATATTTTGGCTCATATTCAAATCAATTATTTAACATACTAAAAGACATCAATAGTTGCGAAATACTTTTAAGATTACTCACTAAATGTAAGGATAATGTTTATTAAAGTAATGTTTCACATGAAGCAGATTTCTTTATCATGTTCTGGACTTCAGTTCTGTGAAATAAAGAAGCCAGTCTTCATTAATTCAGTTTGGGGCTTTTTTTTTTTTTTTTTTTACCTGCAGAGGAAATTCAATATCGATTTCATGCAAGAAGAATTCTCATAGAATGAAGGGGAAAAACAATTTCCATTTGCAAACCTGGATTTATTTATGTGTTGCTTAAGGCGAGACTTTGCTGTAATTTATTAAGGGCTCACAAGGATATTGACCCGATTGGTGAAAAGTGTCAGGTCCATGTCGATAAAATAAAGGTCACGGTGCAGTCATGACAGAGAAATTGAGCAGCAGAACACCTTTTTGGAAGAGGGAGAACGTGTTTAATGGTTTGTTAATGGAAACTGAGCATGGTGTGTCCATAGACGCTCATACTTCATCAACAGCATCTCTATTTCTGTTAATTCATTCATTTTTATATCCAATGATTCATTCATTTTTATATCCAAATGCTAACGTGCATAATTAGGGCAGGGTTCAATGCTGCCTCCTACTGGCCGGTGTTTCTGCACTATAACATGCATTGTTAGGAGAAGTGTCTATAGATGTGCATGTGGCCAGGGATCCTCCCATCTTTGTGTGTGTGTGTGTGTGTGTGTGTGTGTGTGTGTTTATTAAAGGCCCTCCAGGCCCTAGCAGAATGACCTGCATCCCTCATACCTGTATCTGTGTCCAGACTCCTCACCACCTGTGCTGCGGCCATTTCTGCTGATGGGCATTTAGACCCATCTGCGCTTGGGCTGCTTTGGCTCTCTGTTGTCATGGCGGCTTGGACTAAAAGCACAGATAAATAAATAATGATTTAAATAAATAAACAGACACGTATCAATAGACCATTTCATGTAACAAACCATTTTATTCATTATTAATCCCTTTCGTGGCCTCTTGCTTTTTGTTACACTTTCTTCCATTTCTTTTAGTGGGGTGAGAACTAGCAAGTCTAACTTCCAAGTATTACCTTTATAAATGGAAGCTTTAAGACCTTTCTTGCCTTCTTTTTTTTCTCACCATGCAGCAGAGAGCTCCGTCTGCAGACGGTGTAATCTGTCTTGGAGTTACACCAGCTGAGTCTCTGTTCTCAGCTCTAACACCCTGACTCTGCCAACATATGCTGCAGTCTTTGTTTAGTGCCATGCGTTCTGCAAATCCATTCACTTTGGTGTCACACTGCCAATTACTGATAACAGGAAAAAAGGGGGGAGTTCGTTATCTTTTCTTCCTCTGCCTTGGTACACTCGTGTCATTCCTTGCCCTTCTTTATTTTTAAAGGGAAACACACCATTTGTGGGGATAAAGCTATACTTGTATGACCTTTCCATTGTAAAAGGGACCTGGAAGGTTCAGGAGAAACCTATGGTTGTAATTGAGCTGAAATGTAATTAAATGCTATTCAGGCAATTGGACATATAAACATATGAAGTCTTGCGGTTCCAATTCTTCTAATGGCCCATTTAATTAAAGCTGCATTTTTTTAGGCCAGGGGGTGAGTTTAGTACAGCCTGACAATACCCCAGGGGGATTATTCCTCATTAAGGGCATGGTTGGTGAGTCTGAGCCCAGCTGGGGGGCAATGACTGCTGTAAACAGAGGACCATGCCAACGGGGCTGTCCAACCCAGAAGCCTTTCAGTGAGTGGAAGTAGCGTTTGCTAAGTGGGTTTACCTGCAGTATCTGCAGCACAGTCCATACCCTCCTCTTTGAGTTGCCCCCCCATTGGGTACTTCTCCTCCGACTTGCCTGGAGGTAGAGAGAACATGTGCACCGATTGTTCTGAAGTGAAACGAGTGGATATTACAGTACAGCGAGATTATGCTGATGTCTTTGTAATGAAACACAATGGGTCCGCAGGCAGTTTATCTGAGCCTGTCCAAACCTTCAGATGCATACCAAGGTACATATATGGACAGGTGTCCATGCAAAATTGTTTCCAGGGTTGGTCTAAATGCTTATTATACAAGCTGTTTTTATTTGCATTCATAACTTCAAAGGGAGCTTTTTAGCTTTTAATTCCATTTTCATTAGTACAAAAAAACAGACCTCAAAGACCATGGCTTCCAGTCAAATATGCTTGGAATCAGGAAAAACCAGGCAGCTGTAAGCTAAAAACTCCCAGTTCCTGGCCATCGTTACCCAGTCTCCTGCCAAAGCAGGGTATTCTGGGTACAGAGACCATATCAGTATGTGCTAAGGATTAGGCCTTTCACTGTGGGATGGATTGCTTTGGTAAACTGGAGGGACACGTCTTGCTGTCATGCCACTGGGCACTCTGCTAGCCTGCAACCCTACGCTATGCAATCTCATTTCACATTCTCCCATTTTATGAGATCACAGCATTCTTTTGAGTGGTTTATCATTGTTCAGGGAGGCTCTTGGAAATGTACAGTCTTCCTGCAAAACCCCATTCAGCACGACATAATCAGACTACAAGGAAACCTGGCAGCACCATTGCAGGCTTCTCATGGCTGCAGGTTTCTTTACCTGCTCTCGGGTCTTTTTGGGATCAAAGGTTCTTTCAACATAAAACACCTTCATTTTGAAGCCAGGAGAAATGTGGGCAACTAGAGTAATAAGTAGAGAAAACATTCATAAAGAAAGATATTTGCCAATACTCTTGTAACTTAAATCTGGCAAGGCTTTGCTCCACAGCTGAACTTGGGAATGTAGAGAAAATCACATCAAGCTTTAATCTTTCTGTGTTTGTGGGCAAACTGTGTGGCGGGTTGGACCTGAATCCACATCCACAGTAGTTCTGTGATCTGCTCCATTTGACATGGACACATCCTATATCAAAATCAATGCCAAAGTCGGATGTAAACTATTGATTTTGTGACAAAAGGTGCTGATAAAATGCAGGACTGACTCCCTCACATCCATCATACTTGTCAGGATCAATCATTAAATTAGTGGCATTGGTTATTCACTGATTGGGGTGCAGCGAGAGGGAGGGAGAGTGGATTGAGGCTTGGGTAGCCTTCAGGAATCATAAAGCAGAAATATGGTGCACAACAACATGTAGCAGATGTCAAGAAACTATACATAATGCAAGCTGTAGTTAATACCATCGTAAACCTGACTCAGTGCAGGGAGAAACAGTTACCTGAGGTCATGTCTTTGTCTTTCACATCCTTATTATCCATGCTATACTCTGGACTCTTCTCTTGTTCATCTGAAGGAAAAATGACAACAGGATATAATGTCTGTCACTAGACATTATTATAGTCCTTTAGATGTTGATTGGCACGATATACTGTTATGCCTAGCTATTAAACTGGTACCGCTTATTTAACAAAAAAAATGTACAGACGCTCCTCTACTTACAAACTTTCAACTTACGAAGTTTCAGACATGTGAACGAAGAGGACTGCAAGTCCAAATGTTATTTCTTAGGCTCCCGTTTCCTGTCCGCAACATATATACAGTATATCCTCCTGAGACCCCACCCATTCATTTATGTCCATTGTAGTGGACATTTTGTTTTTGCATCTTTTCACTCATGTAAGGAAACGTATTTATTCATGTTGTACACTAAAGAGGACATGCTGTGAAATTAAAAATAAAAATAAATTTGAAAAAATCTAAATTGTATGATGTCTTATTTCCTCCAAAGACAAATAACCTAAAATTGAAGGACACTTTTTCCTCGGGTCTCAGGAGGATTTATTTTTTTTCCCCTGAGCGCCAATTCCAGGTAGTACGACTTCTGGCCGCTACTCCCGCCGCGCAGCAGCGTAGCGTGCGTACTCCCAGCATCCTAGTTCTTGGTACTTGCGTATACCCTTAAAATTATGCTGAATAACGACTTATGGACATTTCAAGGGACGTAACCCACTCGTAAGTAGAGGAGCGTCTGCATATGGTTGTTTGTGTGTGACTTAAGAGAGTCGACGCTGATGAAATGTTTGTTTTAGAAAACATACATTGCGATGCACAGAAGGCCAGCTTGTAACATTTTGGGCTCTTTCTACATATTAAAATCAGTCAGTGGGGGAGGGGCGGAGTTTAAAAAAAAAAAACATTGAGAACAACTGAGAAGCATTTCAAAGTGGGTGAATGAGCTTGGTAGTAAGCATATGTAAATGAGCATGTATGCTCCCTAATTGCTTTCGCGTTCCCAGGGAGAATCACTTAACACGCCGACCTGCCAGCTCTTCACCCTTTCTGTCTGCCTTTGGCTACCAGCGTGTCCTTGACATGCCACATCAATAGGTTGTATTTGCAGAGGTCAAAGGACAGAGACTGTGTCATTATGGGATCGGGGGCTTTCTGTGTGCAGGCAGACAGCAGACATCGTTGACATGCCTGCATGGCTGTTTGTGTTTCCTCATCACCAGGGGCCATGTTGCCACGCTTTAGCCAAACATAAGGCTAGAGACTTCCAGAACTGTTTTGGACAGACCGGCTGGCTGATTTGACAGAGGATTTTTTAGTTTCATTTGCCATGCTGTGGAGCTTTTTAACGAGATGTTTTCCTATATTGTTAATATGACAGACTACGACTCGCACCACGGATGTGAAAAGTTCATTGTGCCTCTTTACTGCCAGCGTGCGCCGTGACACAAAGGAGAGGGACGTGCCCTGAATCATACCGTAAGCCTGACTCGACATCTCTACGTCCCCATCAAAGGTGCTGTCAGCGCATTCTTTGAGCAAGAAAACAACATGGTGCAGAAGGAAATATCACATTTTCATAAGACATCTCAATGCACAATAAACATAAAGCAGTTTCAATATTTCAGGAAACTATCTGCAATTATACACATCCATCATTATACATTCGTCTGCTTATCCAATACACATACAACATATAAAATAATACAGATGTTATGGTACAGGCAGCTTTTTGTCAAAAATATAACAATGTTTCTGTATAGGGCTCATACACAGGACAAGGAGATGCTATTTTATAATCATGATACAAACATTTTGCTTTTAAACTACAAAGACAGTAAGGGACACAATCTTTTTTCAGATCATGGAAAATTACCCTCCTTCCAGGATAACATGAAAAACAAATGTCTCATGGAGATGAGAAATTTTTCTGAATCCAAAATGAGAACAGCGCTACCTGTCTGGCTCTCCATCTGAATATCTTCAACCTCTCCTTTCTCCTGCTCCCTCTCTGGAAAAAAACACACATTAAACAAAACTATCCGGGATATCAGACGGCAAGTGCCACCCTGAGGGCCTAATTCCGGCCGTCCCGGGCTCATGAACTGGTGCGAATCCGAGCCAGTCAGAGGAAATACATAGAATGGAACAGGTGCAACAGTGTAGCAGTCTGTGAAGATCAGCCGTCCCTTTTTGGCAGCTCCAAAAAGTGCCAGTGCTTAACTCCGTGGGGTGATGACCTGACCATCTACACCACTATACACTGCTTACCTTTGAGTCACAATGGCCACCAGAAGCTTATTCCAATTAATTCAGGGCATTAACACACTTACCTGTATAACAATCATCACTGTGCAACATGACCTTTTTAAGCCGTCAGGAAGGAATAATTCACTGCATAAATGTACTTTCACTTGCACTACATGTCAAGAGAGACTTTATAAGGGGGCTACCTCAGTGTCTCCCAAGCAAGGTTGCCATTTAGTATCTTGTATTTGAGGTGAGTAAGAGCTTTTTCCAAATCAGTTAGCCCAGATGGATATAAGCACATGGCTAAAGCTAATCCTTTACATGCTCTTGGAGTGATTGATTTCTCTAATTTTGCTTAAAGGTTATGATTTCAAGAGGCAACTTTTCTCCTTAATATAATGGGCAATCACTTAGAGTCTCTCAACTACGCATCCACTACGTCTTCGAGGTGAGCTGACACGCACAAAATCCGGCCGGCATCACAGGCATGGGCGGCAGACTCCGTCCGAAACCATTTATTTTCCACTCCGCAGAACAGAACGTGCCTCTTTGATCCTGCTCGTCTGTGAGATTATAATGGCCAATTGGATTACAGCTTGCTCAAGGCCTCCCTCAGGCCTGGGCAAAGGACAGAAAGAACAGCCTTATTCATCTGTTTGTGTTATCAGAAAGAAGGGACATTAGAACAGGATGTATAAGCCTCTTCTTAGCAGTGAAAGGGGAAATTGAAAACACATTTGCCTGGTCGTGAGTAGTAAAAACATTTCAATTTAAAGTTTAAAAGCTAGACTGAAACACTTGTCCACTTTCCGCACCGATGTCAGATCGATGTGAATTATAAGTGACCATGAGTACTTTAAGCAGCATTTTATGGAAACAAACCTATTCAGATGTCAGAAATAGATATGTAAAGAATTGCATTTCAGTTTGTCCTCTTTTTGAAAAGAGCATCCAATTCATAAAAATGAGTCTGAGGAATTACCCTACACTAGAAGTCATACTGCGATATGCATTCCTTTATTCGTGTTGAGTGTCGAGCACTGCAGTTTTGTTGGTGTCTGAATATCCCTGTAAAATGATAGGATGAGAGGGTAAGTACCATTTTTAAAACAGATTATTGTTTTATCAGAACACTGTCATAACTTTTTTCCCCACAATGGGCCAAAACTGTTATTGAATGTGAGTGTATGCCAGACAAAGAGAGAAGCCATCATTTTAAAACCACAGCAGCAGACACCATTACACTCCACATCCTTCGATATGAGTGAAGAGCTCATGAATTTACAGCCAGAAGGTGGCGCCAACGTAACAGGGTTTTCACAGCAAGCTCTCTAATTAACCATACTTACGGACTGATGCACTCCAGGTCACACAGAAACTATAGCTGTTCCGGTCATCGCAGGTATTGGGTTTGTTTAAGTCCTGCATAGCTCCTTTCCAAAAAGGCATCTAGCTATAACAAGCATCATTTTACCCGTTAAGTCAGAAACTACACAAAACAATTCCAGCCAGCTACCCGAGGCTTCCCAGCACGCTCACCCCCCGCGCATGCCAATGAGCAAACCTCGCGTTGCCACCCCTCACTCCCCACCCACGCTGATGAACTAACCCCCCCCCTTCACAGCCACCTCCTGCCAGTCTGTATTCACTCATCATTTCACGTCGGGCCAGCCGGCTGGAGCAGAACTTCTGAAAGATGTATGAGACGTTTGTGGAATAAAAGCGGCTCCCCCGGCGAGGGGACCAACAGCTGTCGCTCAGGGCCGCTGTGCGCGGGACAGCGGGTGTGCGTCGCCCAGGACACCGCTGATCTGGGAGAGACAGCCCTTTGATTCCCAGCATGGCCCACAGCTGGCTGCATTCGTGGATCCGCACGGCCCTTCCTCTCCTTCCACCCTCTCTCTCTCACACACACTTCCTCTCCTTCTCTCTATCAGCCCCATTTTGCCTTCAGTCTGTCTTGCTCAGTCACTTGATGATAATAATAACAAAATCGGCATGAAACTCTCTTTGACTCGTTGGTTCCACGTTAAAACCAAGCAGAAATAAGGAAGGTGCACACTACCGTCGCCTTCACCTGCTGTGCTATTTTAAGGATTCCCTGTCAGACCAAATTTCATTGGCTCATGCTCGCACTTCTGTTGTTTTGTTTCTGTTTTTCCTTCCCGATCCCCAGCTTCTCCGGGATTTCGCACAGGTTACATCACTGGGTGGCGCGTGGGCACACCGGCGGGAAACCCGGGGGCCATCCTCGGAGTGGGACCCCCCCTGCCCTGCTCCAGAGCCACAGCCCACTGGTTCAGAGACACGCCGTGCTGGTTCACTGGTTCAAATGGGCTTCTCTGTTTTGCAGACACCGGGGATTCGGCAGCTGAATAGATTGCTACAGGTAAGATAAATGCATGTGCCTATAGGCCAGGCACTGCTCCTAAGCTCGGCACACTGCGGCACCCGACACACTGTAGATCACAGTCTCACACTGCACTGCATTAATATGGCTACGATCCCACCAGGGCTAAGTGAAGAGAGATAATGGGATTCTTTATCTGTATGAATTTTACCTTAGGGGAGGGGAAAAAAACAAGGAAACTTAAACACACAAAAGCAATTTTCCCTTGATTAGTACCGTTCCTGCGCAAGCTTTGATCACACTGCAAATCAGGACAGCACTGTAACCTTACACCACAAGCAATACAGATACGACGAGGTGGGAGAGGGGCTGCCGACTGTAAGCGGACCCATGTAGAGCGCACGGCACCCCTCCCCCTTGCTGACATATGGACTGCTTTGCGAGACTTTCCATCAGTCTTGGGGTCAGCGTGCTCGACCTGGCCCACAGGGGCAGGGGCCAGATGGCGGCTCATTTAGTCCCACCTGCACACGGACGGTCGTGGCCCCTTTAAGGGGGCTCCGTCTGGCGCCTGCATGCCCTGCATAGGCAGCAGGGCTAACGGGCTGTCCAGGACTGCTCTGAGAAGCAGGGCCCCCACCAGGCCTGCTGTATGAGGCAGGGCCATCGTCAGGCCAGCTTTCTGAGGCAGGGCCCCCACCAGGCCTGCTGTATGAGGCAGGGCCATCGTCAGGCCAGCTTTCTGAGGCAGGGCCTCCGCCATATAGATATATATATAAATATATAGATATAGATATATACATGAAGTGCTGCCAATTCAGAAAGCAAAGCCTCCAAGCACAGGTTTGAAAGTCATAGGTTTCCAGTCACTGGTAAATGATGGCTTTGCATTTGCTAGCCGCCACCTCTGTCAGACTTATTGGGACTGGGACGGGCGACTGTGCAAAGATGGGCACCGGGCTTCATGGCGGGTCCCTGCCTTTGAAACCGCCTCCCATTCCTTTTCTTATAAGCTCCACTTAATCTTGTGGTTGGAGGGAACGCTGTCAGTTCTGTGCACACGTATACAGAGCTGTGGCTATATTCACCCGCAGAGGCTTGTGTGAGAGGCTGAGCATACATACCCATTTGGATTTTCTGAGCTAGCCAGGGTTCTTTTGTGTGCGGATTAACCATCGGCCTGGAAGCCACACACACACACACACACACACACACACACACACACACACACCCCACACACACACACACACTCAATCGATTCACAAAGCATATTGAATCATATCTAGAAAAGTGAATTACGTGCCTTGAAACCTCATTCAGAGATGCATTTCTGTTTAGTTCACTTGCAGGAAATGCATTTTCTCCATCAGACTTCCTGCGCTATCTGTTCCCGTCTTTCCAGGCAGCGCTGTGATGGAGTGTATGTTAATGTCTGAGGGCTATTTCCCAGACGGCCTGTGGAACTTAAAAATGCCCCCCCCACAACCTTAAAGCCCAAAAGACAAATGGCAGGTGTGCGATGTTAATCGGCGGGTTTCACCTCCTGCACTGGAATCTAATTATCTTTGGTCCATCTTATTGGAGCACCGGCATAATTGTTCCAGCATTACACATCAGAAGGGGCTGAAATTGCAGAATGGCTATTTAATGGGCTCTCAGACAAGTGGAGCTCAGGCGAATTGTAGGAATCCGTGCTCCGCTGGTCCCCGTCTCAAGCCACCCCCCGTCTCAAGCCACCCCCCACCAATGGAGGCCTGCATTGAGCTTTTGAGGGTGCAGATGGAACACAGACACAAGCAACTTCTCACCTTCTACATTCTCTTCATCACTTCCTTGTTTCTTGTTTTTGTACTTCTTAGATGGAGGTGTGTCCATTTTACCTGCCACACGAAAGGTACTAAAGTTAAAGGTCTTTAATGAAGAAAGGTTGGGAAGATTAGGAAGCTGTTATTCCACACAGTGAATGTCCCGCAATAGAGACTAGGGGCATTTTTCCACCGCACCAGGTACCATACTTTTGGCAGGCTATTTGCATAACCAGTCGACAAAGTACCTAAGTACCAAAGACGTACCCCAGGTCAACCATCTCCCATAAAACTGACAAGAGGTGCAATTTTATATAAACTCATATCTACATAAAACCTGGACAGTAACCTGGACTTTGAAAGGATTTAAAAAAAAAAACTGACACACTAATCTTGTAGCCAAACACAAGGTGCTGTATACTTGTGACCAAAAAGTAGGTGTTTTTAAAATGAACAATTATTATTTTCATCAAATTTATGATAAACTACCACCCATGTTAAATATGCAACATGCAGTAGGAAAGCAATTTGTAATTGATATTTCTTCACTTACAAATTACAATATTAATCTAATCAGATTGTTTCTGTATTTTTCAGTATGGATGGCTCTTTTTATTATAAGCACTGTGAATAATAATGCATATTTTGCTCTGTTATTAATTTGCAGCTAATGCAGAAAAAGAGCAAATGGTCCTTTTCTGAAATAACTAAAATGTCTCTGAATTTAATCTCTGATGAAATTCTATGACCTGTGACATTAGAATCCACTTTGATGAAGACAGTGAGCTGGTTTAAATTTATTTTAGTCTTTAAACATTTTAAGCAAGTTTTATTTTCCATAAAGCTTCACAGAGCTCTATTGAGTTCATCTGTATTCTTGGAAATAAAGAACAGAGAAGGTGTGGAATGTATCATTAACCATAAAAAAATTCATAAAAGCTTAATGGTATGCATCTGTGTTCCTGGAAAACAGGAGAAGAGTCACAGCAAGAATGAAAGATAAATACACCTCTGGTTATTTGCTGAAGCCAGCAGCTTTAACTGCAGATGGACCGGGCATTTTGGAAACAGTCCATCAATTGTCCCAGCATGACAATAAGGTGCACTATTGTCTTACTGCACCTGGGTCAGCTGTGATAGGGAGGATGAACCATAGGCTGCTATAAGGAGATAAAGCCACTTAGATGGTCTAGGTGCAGTCAGAAATAGGATTTCCCTCTATGCTCTTCAAAATTACAGCTATTTTTGCTTCCAAACAAAAGCCCCTTGATTAAAGAAGTCTTTGAAGTGTGTCTTCATATGCCTGTTTGAAGTTCAGAATCAGGTATATATTAAAGTCTTTGTGTGCTTATTACATATATTACTAATTCTGTTTATATATGCACATGCTCTTTAATGTTGGCAGACTGCTGGCATTTGCAGAAAGGTGAGGGCAGAACACCCTGATCATCACTCACCTTCATCCACTGCTCCCTCCTCATCTACGTCCTCGTGCTTGTCTGCCAGGAGATAAAAACAAGATGGCCAGTTACTGCTCGCCTACGATAAGACCTTGGGCGCTTGTCAAGCTGACCTGTTGTCCATTGGCCATCAGATAGACAGTGGATTTGGGCGGAACAGCATAATGTCTGGATTTACTGCGTCCTGAGTAGTGGCAGATCCCTAAAGAAGGCTGATCGCTATGTTCCGTCTGGAATATTACAGTAACATAAGCTTCCAGGAAATTGAATGCAGAGGTGGTTGCTCCCATCATGGAAGAGAATGACAGCTCTGCGGCTTCCCTTACGTCCTGCGCCTAGCGCAACAATGCGCAGATGCAGGAGAGCCTGCGCAGCTGACTGAACAGAACCGTGTGACACAGGGTTTTTTGAGTCGGACAGGAGTTATGAAGAGAACAACGCATCAGGAATCCTTCTGCATAGATAAATGTGGAAGATGGATGGATGAATGGAGGTAAAACATTGCCAATACAAACGGCTCACTGCAGGGATGCTTGGGTCAGACATAAAGAGGGATTTAGAACCTGGATTAATGTCTAAACAAAAGCAACAGTACAGAACAAGGCAACAGTGCAAACGTCTCTTGACTCTTCCTGCCCAGACGGGCCACGTGGTGCCCCCCTCCACTGACATCATTTACATGTACACTTATTTTATTTAGCAGAAGCTTTTGTCTAAATGTGACGTACACCTGAGCTAAACATACCTGCTGTAAAGGGGTCAAGTGCCACTCAAGTGAATGGCCAGCTACAAGTGTAAGTAGTATTGGAACAAGAGCTATGTTATCTTCGAAACAAGAAAGTCTAACATTTGGAGAGGTATTAGACTAGCAGAGGAACAGATGGGTCTCTCTGGAGGTGTTTCTTGAAGGCAGAGAGGGAATCTGATGACCAGATTTAATGAGGCAGCTCAATCCACCTCGCAAGAGCACAGCCTAGAGTGACACTCCTCACGTGGTGGAAGGAGCTCCGAGCGGTGAGATGGGACATAGGTCTTAAGGAGCCGACGCATCTGCACTGCAGTCTGGGGCTTCTATCCATCCATTTTCCGTAACCGCTTGTCCTATTCAAGGTCACAGAGGATCCTGAGCTTATCCCGACGGCTGTGGGCAAAAGGATGGAGCCCCAGGATGGCTGATCAGCAATGTTACAGATGCAAGTCACATGGGGGAGCCCAGTCACATGGGGGAGCCCAGTCACATGGGGGAGCCCAGTCACATGGTGGGGCCCAGTCACATGGGGGAGCCCAGTCACATGGGGGAGCCCAGTCACATGGTGGGGCCCAGTCACATGGGGGAGCCCAGTGACATGGGGGAGCCCAGTCCCAGCAGCTCACGCCGGCGTCCCCGAGCCACACACCAGGCTCATCACCCACGGGGAGTCTTCCTCAGCACCAGTCCATTAGCTGCCCTCTCTTAGCTGTTCTTGACATTTTGAGGAATTACTGATGATTATGGAGGTCTGTAAGCATGAGACATTCTTCACCCATTAGTCACAGTCTGGCAGTCCTGCCGCATATGAAATAAAATCTTCTGTTTTCACAAAGCATTTAAAATTTCGACACAAGTTATTTCAGTTCCTTTTGGGGAAACCGTGTTCTTTTTTTTTTTGGTAAAATAACAGGAATTAATTAGATTCAATTTTATTCTTGACTTTATTCTTGTTTTGGCACAGAAGGCAAGGTACAGCAGTGCAGAGTGTAAGTGTAACCCGCACTGAGCGTCATGCAAAGTGGAGTTTGAAGAACGGGAATTGGAGGAGCAGACGGTGGGCTAAGGCATGCGCAGGCCCGGGGCCATCCGGCAGAAGGATGAGAGAAGTCACTGGCAGCCCCAAGCACCAGTTTGAGTCGAATGCATGTGGAAATGCTTGCCTCAGCACCCTTTAATGTCCATCCTGCCATTTGTGCCGCCGTGCAGGAGAGTTTACCTCTGATGAAGTGCTGTTGTCATCTATTCCGCAAAAGTCGCGCCACCAGAAACTCCCAGCGGGAAAGAGAAGGCAACGTGCTTTACACATTAAAATAAATCTATGCAGCAAGGTGATACGAGCCGCTGGATGGAACTTGAGTGAAACTAGGAAGTCTCTTCGTGTGTTGGACCATGTGAACATCACGCAAAGCACCATAAAAACAAAGCCTTATTGCGCTGTTAACCCCTCGAGCCAGACGCACATTTCTGCACGTGTTTATGAATAGCAAACATTAAAGAGGAATCAGTTGGAAGCTTTGCCGAGTCCTTGTTCTTAACACAAAAACCTACCTTACTCTGCCCGTCAAAGGTCCTCATCAGCCCTGCCAGCTCAGGAAGTTAGTGGCCCAACAATCAGTAACCAAGTAAGAGGACGACCACCTGATATACCGCATATCTTACATAGTTCAAAACAGACAGACCTACTTAATGTTTTAACTGATGAATTGCGCTGATATAGAATATATAATGAAATATATCATTTGTTATCTTATTCAGCATTTATGTGTTTAAGCCAAGTCATACTGGTTATGAGCTCGTGGAATTAAGATGGAGAAAAGTAGACAAAAAAGCATAAGGCTTAACACAGAACATGTCCGTCTCCCAAAAACGTTATAAAACTTTATTAATCCTGATGTCCCGACAGACTGAATAACGTCTTGGCTTAATTAATTTCCCTTCCTACCGGGGCTCTTGGTGTCCTTACAGGTGTCTGAATAGCCATGATGACTCATAATAAACACAGCTAAGCAAATTACTACCTTTAAACATCACAATGAGTAATGCCAGTAGGGACAGGGAAAATCCCACAGCAAAGGCCTTTCTCATTCAAAGCGGAAAGCGGCATTTGAGCCCCGCGTAATATAGGAGACATGGGTAACCCATTGAGCCCAGAACAAACGAGCGGAAATGCAGCCCGCTAACATCCAGATCTCTCTACCTGCATGTATCTTGCCACGCATATGGGCTTCGTCACAAGTCATAGCGACACGTTGCTGCGAACAGTACCGACCGACGGCAGGCTAATCCTGCTTAACCAAAGCCATTCCTCCTGGACGGGAACCGGAGCGGTGATGTTTCGACACTGCAAACTGTGAAGTGCCAGTCAGAGAAATTTCACGAGGTATGTATCATTAAAAGCCGATCTCAAGAGTGCTGCAACGTCTAATGAATCCCCAGTGTTCTCTTTTTAAAGACATGTTGCTGGAGGAGGATTTTACGACTGCTACATGGCGGCAATGAAGGCTTCGCTGCTGCTAAATGGAGTCGACAGGTTCATAAATCTGGCAGTATGTTTAAAGGCTTCACTTCTCTCGTTGAGCCCTTATCCATATTGACAAAGCAGGCTGTGTATGAACCTTCTTGGAGTCCTGTCACGTGTCCCCTGCATTCAGATCCATGCAGCCCACCCCCACCCCTGGGTGGGGGGAGCATGCACTCCTCTGTCTATAATTCTCACAGCATGAGGGGTGGAACGAGTGGAGGGAAAACAGGAAATGCTACATGCAAATACCCTGTTTGACATTGGCCCGATGGAGTCTGTCCTGTGCATATGCCCCCCCCCCAGCCCCCCGTCACCTCAGCCTGAAATGTTACATTAACAGTAGAGACTAAGTAATTAAAACAGAGAAATTGAGCATAATTACATCTGTGTAATGTGTAGAAACATTTAGCTTTGAGGCATTCGGTTCCCTATAAGGAAACCAGCAAAAGATACGCAAACAACTGTCTCTGAAATGAATGTCTGCTATATGTACTGCAAGCATACAATAGGAAGAAGAAAATTATGGAAATTAACCAACCCAAGGAATTTCACGGGAACGAGAACCAATTATAATTATTACATATATTAATAACTGACAGCACATGTTTTTGTCATTCTTCAGTTAGATACTCATACAATAATTCGAAGTCACAACCAGAGAAAAGCTAGAGAAACATTATAGCATTTAATAACGAATTTAGAGGCAGTTATAGAAGTTAAAATGTACATGGCCTATAAGTTATATCCTCAGATGCAGTCTTCTATATTTTGCTTTGACATTCCAGCTTAGAGCGCAATTCATTGGTTTCTAATACTATATTTGAGGATATAAGTGAAATTACAGCTAACTCCACCAAGAGATGTTTTTCCACCATACAGAATAATCTCAGGCTGAGACTTTCACACCACAGCTTGGGAGAGAAACACTGCATCTATAGAAAGGTCCAAAATGCCAAGAATGAACAATGAAATAACTCAGGGCCTTTTTGTAACCAAGCGAATTCGGGTGTACTTTTGAGGTCTGTGAAATGTATTGAAAATCCCACTTCAAACATAGGAGGCCGATGGACCAATCAAGTCCTGTTACTGGCCAGCATTTACAGTGTGAGTCATGACCAGAACACAGACATATTCTGAAGGTGACTAGACAGTTTCCCATAAGTCCAACGACTGGCCAAAGGCAAAAAAAAAGAACGACTGCTATCAAATGGTACAAGTAATTATTCCACAGTTCATTTGAGAGAAAAAAAAAAGAATTTTGTTGAATCCACAAAATCAGGATCCTTATCTGAATAGTTTCAGGAGAATATTCAATGTGCCAAACCTGTACACGTTCTCTTTTATTTTATAGCTTTTTTTTTATAGATGAAAACAAACAAAAACCTATAAAACCTGCAGCAGCCCATGAAATGATTTCTTATTTTTTATATATGCAATAAACTGCCTCATGGTCACAATGACTACAGTGAAGGGCCAGGGGGCATGCAGGACGCAGATTATGAGCAAACGGCAAAGGCAGAAGTTAAACTCTGTCACACAGCTTTAGAGCTGGGTGCAGAATCTCTACAAGCATGTCTTTGCACCTGGATGTGAGAATGCTACCTTCCCAGCAAATGACCATCCAGGCCCTTTCGTATATTTACAGTTTTCAAAGCCTGGGAGAATCTGAGATGAATAGCCTTGACCTGATAGGTCAAAAAGCAAATTTAACTTCTGTAATAAAAACAAGGCATGGCGCAGCAGCAGCGCAAATGTCGCTAGCTCTCGCTAGCCTTGGTAGCCTTGTAATGTCGCACCCTCGAGACTACGCCTGCAACAACACTTGTACCACACACTGCCTGGGATGATCTAGAACTTTTGATTAATGTTTTAATGCCACAAAAGAAACTAACAACTATAAAATATTTGCTCCTCTGCAACGGATGTAATGGTAAACTGCACATGTAGGTAAATATTAGAAATGACTGTGAAAATAGGGCCAACAGAAGCTCTTCTAACAGCACAGGCACAGAACAAAATAGTGGCACAAACAATTTGTTGGCAGTGCACAGAGGCCTGCAAACCGAGGCCTGCAACATAATTAGAGGTCTTACAGTCAGGACCATCCTTTACTAAGACAGCGGGCCGACAGGGGCTGGGGGCAGGTGGAGAGATAAAATAGTCCCACATGGGAAAAGAAGGTTCAACAGTTTGTTATCCACTGCGGCGCGATGTTAAGTGAATGCAGTGCCCTACCAGCATTGGTAGTAATACCTCCTTTCCAGGTCTGGTCCCTATTACCACTTTGTCAGGAGACGTTGCCCCCACCAATGCATTACAATTAAGTTCAGTTCTTCCACACTTGAACTTGTTAGAGCAGGAATATCACTGAGAAAGTGATTACCACTGCCATTTCCAAAGATAGTTACTTCAGAAGGCTGGTAGTTGACTTCAATATATAACAAAACAACATTATATATGCAAACTCTTCCATCTTCCACATCTACGGTTACTACCATTCTCAAAGTACTGCAATCATCAATCATCAGCACTAATCCTCTGCATTTTTTGGTGACCTCATTACAGTATTCTCCCAGTCTTCACAAACCGCTGTTTTCCAGGTGATGTGTTCACTGAAACATTGCCAGACTCTATCTGGTATTTCGATACATTTGTGTTGGGGTCAGTGGTGTAACTGATTTTTTTTTTCTAGCCATGAATGTATAGTTCTTCTCACCTCTTACTTAATGGAGGACCTTCACTTAACACCTTTCCTAGCTGGTAGCTCTGCCAACGTGGATGCCTTTCTTGAGAGGAGCTAAATGAACCGCAGACAGCTGTTTAAGCCCCATCCAGGCTGGCATGACAGGTACAGACTCAGCAGTTAGCAGCTGAAACAAGCCTCCAACCTTCATTTTGGGGTCAGACTGCAGCAACTCTGAAACTGATGAGAGTGCCTTCTCACAGTGAACGGGCAGTCCCTCCTTAACCTTAAATCTATTACACCCTGGAAGATGAGCAGCCAATCAGCATTGCTCAAGCGTCAGGCTGAGAAACAGCAGAAAGCAAGTACCTTTTGAGAAGAAACGAGTCATCTTTTCTTTGTAGATCTTGAAGTCGGTCTCCAGGAAGACACAGAAAATGACGCGATCGATCTGTGAACACACAAGAGAGATCCCCGCATCATGACAGTTGCATCATCAGATAACAAATAATTTAGTTAACACCTCATTATTTGTGGCTAAATTGGATTGAGGTTGCTCAACTCAGCTTATTCTTTAATTTTCACAATAGACATTCAATGTTAGTTTAATACAAGTAGTAACTGAATGAGTGGTATTAGGGCAGATCATTATGCTGTAAAGGAAAAAAGTAGTGCTTCAGACATGATATCACTTAACATGCATGTGAGAAGCTAAACCTGAGCCCATGTAAGTACATTACAGGGTACGTGGGGCAGTCTGGGTCACAAGAACCTCACCATCCTCCTTAATAATTTTATGACTTGTGGTTTCTCTGGCCCGGTCTAATTTAATTGTCCTATTTCCTGCTTGTTAGGGGAAGATTCCTTTTAATTATACCATGTCAGGTGCTGGATGAGGGCCATTACAAATGAGACTCAATGGTATCTTTGAAAACCTAGGAGCAGGCGAATTAAGAAGGTCAAAGGGACAGCTCAAAGAGGAGTATTGATACAACTGGAAAGTCTGTGCTTTCAGCTGCCATTAGGATGGAGTCCTGGTGGTGACGTCCAATGTTTGTTTTCTCCTTCCAGGGAATAACAAACATACTAAAACTTAATCTAATAATTGGGCACAGTGATGATTTCCTCACTTAGGACCACCCAAAACACGCTCACTTCACTTAAACTCACTCCTATGGACATTGTAGTATCACAACGTCACACAACATTCTTTTTTAAGCTGTAGGGTGTTAAAGTCAGCAATATTTTTTAGATCCTTTGTTGCCACCATAATACCCCAATAATATGATAACCAGTGAAATGGGTATTAAGTGAGACTGAGTCATCTGTGCTTCTGAAGGAATATCCAGCAGTTTGATCTGAATGTGAAGGGGGTGCTCTCTCTTTTCCTCGCTTGAGATTATTCTTACTCATGTGTTAGTATCCTTCCCTCTCTATAGCCCTAGGCATACGCGCCCAAACCATACAGGGGATGATATTTTACTCAGCGGGACGAAAGAAAATTGCCCCCCGTATATTGCAATTTCACGAAACAGGCAAGTGATGCCCACCTCCACAATCTGCAATAGAAGTTATGCACTTGCAGACAAAAGCACAACCTTTGAAAATGGCCACTGCATGGCTGATTAGCACATACACACATTTAAATCTAACACAGAATCTCTGGTGGGTAAACAGACAAACCTTGTCAGGGTTTCTGCAGTTTAGCCTGGCTGAGTTTGTCCCCCGTTTCCCAAGGCTTTTATCCAAAACATGTGGCATCTCTCACTGCTGTAATAATACTACATATTCTATATAAGGGGCCACATGAAGGACCCCCACCACTGGGAGAATGCATAAACTTTGGATCCACTGAGAGATGAGAGAAGTATGAAATTCAAGTCCTGCTTTGGTAGATTTTCATATGGGGGACGGGGGGGGGGGTGGGCGGGTGGTTTTGTGTCCATCACAGAATAGCCACTTCCCTCCAACCCAGCAGAAAGGGGGGGGGGGGGTCACTGTGGGGCTCAGCTTCTCAGGAGATGACATTGTGACATGTGTCTGGGCCTACCAGAAGCAAGGCAGAAACTTCCTGTCTGCAGGAGGGTGGAGTTCATAACGGCGTGGATGTTTTAAAGAGGCCCATAAATATGACAGGCGGGAAATGGGCACACATCTGTGGCTCATTGCGAATTCCATTGTGGGCCTGTGCACCGATACGTCTGGCAAAAGCTCAACACTAGCAGCGCAGCAAAGCTGGAGAGAGAGACCGGCCATCTGTGTTACTACAGGCAGCGTGAATCGTAACCCTTAATCAGTGCAAATCTGGTGGATGCCTTGCCATTAGAATAGTGCTTTTAGCAGAAATATCTAAAGAGTTTTGTTGACATTGATTCCATGCCTCATGCCTCCCAAGCTTTCACTCCCACTAAATGGCCCCATACATTTGTTTTACTGCTGTTAAGTAGAGCATGTTTATATTATCTACATGTAGAATATACATTCCCATATTTCTTCAAAATGTAATGTTGTCTATAGTGATAAATAAACAGTGAATCGGAGAGATTTGTGTGCTCCCCTCCACCAGTGAGACAAATGGTACCTCCGCCCACACTTATAAACAAATCGATGGGCTGGCGCTGCTCGGTGGTGGGTCCGAGCACCAGTGTTACTCTCCTGTGATGAATGGATGTTGAGCTGATCCTGACCCTCCTCTTAAATCCATGATATAAGTGCAGCAGCCCACTCTAGAAACCTCAAACACTCCCAGGAGCTCCAAAGGCTAAACCTGTCTTCTGACCCATACAAATGTCACTGGACAGAGACAACGGCAATTTCCTGCTCACAGAGCAGACCTCAGATTCTTCTTGCAAGGATTCGTAGGGAAAGCAGACAGAAACTGTCAAGCCAGGAGCTACTTAAGCGCAGTTATGCTTGGAGTGAGAAAGTGCACACAGTGGAGTAGCCTTTAATGTTACACACAAGCTATGGACGGACACGTACTGATGCGGCACACTTACTGCCCCCGCAGCCCTCACCGGGGGCAGGATCTTCCAGAGCAGCTGCTCGCGTCCATTTGATGCTGCTGCCACTATGGCCATATTGTGTGCGCGCAATTCGGCGAGGAGCTCACGGAAAACGGGCAAAGAGACTTCGTTCCTCATGTTAATTATCATGCTTATTTGCATATTAAATATTTACGCTCGGGGATGTAACTGTTCGGTGCTGTGTTTCACGTTCATTTTCTCTCTCATTAAACATCCCACCTCAGACATTAATTACTATAATGGCATGCAGCTGTCCTGTATTCCTGTGTTTATTCTCATCTGGAGATTTCAATGTGAGGCCATTCTGATATTTTTTCCACAGAAATGGAATAACCTCACAGGCGCCTCATCCCTGTCAGTTTTGAAGATTTCTCTAACATCACAGTGCTGTAAACATCCTATAGAATGTCCAACTTGGGGCATGGAACCATTGCCTTGAATAAATTTTTTAAAAAATTACTATGACTATAATTATTGCTGCATGTGTCATCTGGCTTTTATGTTCGAATAAGTGCAATGAATGGGGTTATTTTCTTGGACATTACTACAGCATCACATAGTCTCCAAAGGCTCAGGAGAACGGCAGATGTCGGTTATCATGCCGATGGTGAGGAACCGTGTGTGATGACTGTGCGTTTTATGAGAGCCAAGGTTGGGGAAGTTAATGGAAGAATAATTAGAAAGCTGGAATCGCTGTGTGTTGGGCATCATGGTCATTACTCATCCCTGATTGGAGGGGATGGTGCCAAAGAGAAGGTGCTAGACTGCGGGGTCTTTCAGCACAGGCGGGTGGGGTCAAAGGGAACCAGAGGGACAGGAGGCGGCAGAGGCTGCACAGTGATGAAAGCTAGGCATGCGATTGAGAGTTCACTCTGTGGCTCGCTGGGGTTCATTTAAAACAGAGTTGACCGCCATGAGGCACAAAACACTGGTTTTCAGCAGCTCTGTAAGCCTGCAGCAAGATACATGGCTGTTACAGCAGACAAACAAGTGAGCCCAAAGTGCAAGCAGACTCCGTTTTCCTTATTTTTTTGACTTGGTTGAGAAGACGGTGAAGCGGGACCCCAGAAAGCGTGTCCTGTTAATCTGAGAGCGGTTTGGCACAGTAACCCACGGCCGCATATGCGACATGATTGCATCTTGAACCCAAATTATCGGCAGAGTGCTCACCAGCCGGAGAAGGGGAGCATCCACAATGAACAGAGAGGTCTGGTAACAGATGATCCATCATCACTGGGCACCCAAGCTTGTAATTACATTCAGGGCACTGCCAGAACTCTGACACAGTGGAGCCACGCACACACACACAGGATTGTAATTATATCTTTGTGGGGACTCTCCATTCATTTCTATGGGGAAAGCTTTAATCCCAACATCGCAACCTTATCCACTACCCAGACCAAACCTTAACCATAAGTAACCAAACAAAATACGAGACTTTTGTGGTCCCCACAATGTAAAAAAAACAACAACAGGATTTTATGACATTGTGGGGTACATTTGGTCCTCAATATGTAATGTAAACATAATCCATTCACACACACAATCACGCAACGTCTGACACATTACCATGAATCAGAAAAATATTACAATACGCTGCATTTGCACACGTCTGATTGCTTTTATGGGTCTGTCAACCGTAGATAGTCCAATGAGGACACACTCCAGAAAGATGCCATTTCACTTACTGCCTAAATGAAAATGCAGGACAAAGGCAAAATTGTGTTAAAAAAAAAATCTGATCGGTGTTATGAACGAAACGCTTGAAAATGTAAATGATCACACAATGGAAAGTAGGAATAAGCCAGCAGAGAATGGATTTTTTTAATGTATGTTATCCTGAGTGAGCTTTAAAAATACATAATGCAGAGAATGCAGCATTATATAGGAAAATAAAACAGAAGATGACCCAGAAAGATTAGCAGTTAATTTGATAAAAAGTATTCACTATAGAGCTCATTTAAAATTCATGCCAAGCACTGCAGCTGTAATAAAGGGCACATGAACTCCAGTCTGATGTGCTTTCAGAGACCATCAGGCCTAAATAAAAGAGAAAGCCTGCATTCTCCCAGGCGCTCAGCAAAGGCGAGGCAGAGCAACGGTGCCTGCAGGGCCCCCGCCGAGAGTCAGGCGGCCCTTTTCCAGCTCTGATTATGGCGTAATTACACACACCTGAGCCTGCACCACATGAGCGGAGAGTAATTAAAAGGCCCCGAACGTGGGGGGGGCACAGAACTCATGGGGAGCGGGGGAGAGGGATGACACGCCTAGCAGAGGTGCGTGAGGCACTGCTGACGGCGAGGACACCGACTGGAGGAGGACGGCATACAAACGGGAGCTGCTTCTTCAGAGGGCACCAATGTGATGCCCCAAGCGCCGCAATAATGGATTGGCTTAAATGGAAGAGACAGCACTAAATATATCC